CACTTCATCATTTTCGCCAAATACACCTGCTATAAACATATAAAATAGAACGAAAATCAATTTTTTTGAAGACATTGCTTCTATTTCAATATGTGAATGACCAAACGTATCCCCATTAACTATTTTTATCACGAATGACATTTTGACTGATTGTATCCCCATTATATAGCGAGCGTATTTGCGAACACATGCGCCAGTTCTGTGTGAACTTTATTCATTATCAGATTATTTTCTTGCAACGTCAAATGGAAAAAATTAAATGTGACGAAGTGCATTATTGAATTAGTGCCTAGTTGTTTGTTTCAGTTTGTTCATATGAAATTACTAACGTCGCAATAATTAACTATCTACTATGCTAATGTGAGATAAGCTAATTAGTTTGAACCAAGAGTATAAATAAGGTCGAATTTTTTGTTCATTTGTTGTGAGTTATGAGCACGATGTTTAGCAATTCAATTGTCATATTATTTATTGCTTCGCTGATTAATAATATTAATGGCGAATGCTGTTGTAAGTAGAGGTTTTTGGCTCATTACGGATCCTCCTTTAGAACTTCCAAATCGCCAATAAAAATGACAAAACGGCAATAAAATTGACAAAAAAATTCAACAAAATTGACAACAAATCGAAATAAATGTAACAAATCAATCAATAAAATTAACATTACGTTCAATGAAATTGCCAGATTGAGAAAATAATTTTGACAATATAGGCAATAGAATTGCCAAATTAGAAAATAAATCTGACAAAATGGGTATAAAATTGACACTTTTTGCAATAAATTTGACAACAGCAAGCACCAAATAGATAAATTTACGTCAAATTTATTGCAATAATTAATAAAACTATTTGCATACGTAATTATTTTAATATATATATATGAACATATGTAAATATATCCATTTCGATGTTATTAAACACTTATTTCGTTCACAACTAGTGAATTATCCCGCTATTTCACGACCACTTCGTTTCTCAATTTAAAAAAAAATATTAACTATTTTATTTTCTGTTCTACAACATTTTTATTGATAATCCCTTCCATAGGATTATTTTATTTCATAGTTTACAAAAAAAAAAAGATCTTAGTTAACTAAATCGCTTTCTGGAATCCAAGAATTATATTCATCATCAAAACCAAGCCATTTCACGTACACCTGTCCATTTCTCTTACGAAGTATCTTCTCAACGAGATATTCATCAGGATTTCTGACGTGTTGAAGCTCTTCTGCATATACAGAACCTAGGATTTCTTGATCGCTCCAATCTTTGAGCAGATACGTGATTGGATCGGTATTATATTGAACTTTTCTAACTCTAAAAATTGCTGTTGTCCAATTGGGAGTATAGGTTTTATCAAACGTGGTTCGATATTTGCTCAATCTCACGAAATCACCAACTCTAAATTTAGCCATTCGACGTTTAGAATATTCCCGCTTATACTCATACTATATTATGTATGTACTTACATTGGCATAGATGTGTATTCACATACATTCGTTGAGTCAAGTGCATTACTTACTTGTCGACTCTCTTTACTGTACTATTCCGTGGACATATGCAAGCCACCTTCTATGGAATGAGTTAATAACAAAGACGTCTTAACTTAAGTTGTTCACAAAGCTGTCCAAGTTATGAATGTTTTTGTCAGTCAGCAATTCGTAAACAATGCGTTCCGTGATTTTGTTCAACTTTAGATTTGTTGTAATTTTATGCAGCCGATATCGCCTTGCAATGTTTTTCACTTTTGTTTTCAGATAATGCACGTATTCGTCGTGTGTGAGATATTTTTTATGCACTCGCAATAGTGTTATTTGATCCATTTTTTTTTAAACGAAAAATTCTCTCATCGCTGGGTTGTGTAAATCTGAGTAAACTAATTCGTAAATTGCATTTAAATATGCGATTCGTTCACTTATTATGTTTCGTTGCGCTGCATTTTGTTCGTTCTGTAACTCGATCATTGCTTCGCCGACTTCTATTTGCAGTTCCCGTGCCCGGTTTATGTCGAAATGTGTCGGCATTGTTCTTAGTCGTTAGTTTTTTTTTCAATGTAGTTGTTTTTTCATTCACAATAACTTATTATATCAAACCGGCGTATGCAAAGTGTTTAATTTCTCAATTTCTGCGAATTTGCTGAGTGTTACGATTTTGAACTCGATAAAATGCGCATGTTGATGTGAGTTTCTTTTCCAACTTTTTCACTTTTGCTTCATTTGAATTTATTTTCCTGTTTAACACGAAATACGTTGCCGCTGCAATGCTGGCTTGTGTGATTCCCACTAATAAAAGTGTATATGCGTTCATTTTGACTCTTTTTTTGAATGTTTTCAGAACTTGAATTATTTGTTTTTTGTTAATGTTCACACGAAAATGTCTCTTTTTTTTCAATAAGCAGATTTCGATTTTTCCAGTCTTCTTTTTTTTCTACACTACGTTTCTTGTGTTAATTCTTGCTAGAATTGTGTCTCTAACTTGCTCCTTTTTTGCTCTCTTCATTATTGATTTCACCAAAAATAAAACCAACATCAATGCTAATATGAGCACGATTGCCTTGAGGCACCGTTCCTGGTCGTCGTTTGTGGTTTTCAACTCGTTTTCTGTTATTAGGTTGTTATTGAAAACTCCCTGAGCTTCCACCTTTGTCTCTTTTGATTGTCCGAATCCCATTATTTATGCACAATATTTTAAAATTGTTATGTGTAGTGTCGTTTTTTTTCACTATATCACGAGAAATTTATTTTTCGGAGATTCAATTTCACTTTTCGAAGATTGATTTATTGATTCTTTTGCCGTTTCAAACTCGCCATTTATTATGTATGTACTTACATTGGC